AATAAATCCTCAGAACACTCGCCGTGGTACAGACGATAGAACACGCTTAGTGACGCCACGTCACGGCGTAATTGAAGAGGCTCAAGGTGTTTAGTCACCTCCTCATCGCCTATGATGCGGATCGCGCGCCGCTGTAACCTATCCAAAGCATCGAGCAAGTACTTGGCGGAGCCATCCCAGAGGTGCGAGCAATATTCCACGCAGGACCGCACTTGCGTTTTGTACAACAAGCACAGTTGATCGGGCGTGAAAATACGCCGCACCTTGTTCAGGACTCCGAGTTTGCGTGAAGCTGTTTTGATCACGGTTTCGATGTAGTTCTTTGGATTCAGGTCTGAGCGAACTTCCATACCGAGGATGGAAATGTTGCTCTGTAGCGGTAGTGTTGTGCCCTGAAGAGAGGGAAGGGGAAGGAATGGCGATGTTTTTGCCGTGAAAGCGCAAGCCTGAGTTTTCTTGGCATTGAACTCAACCAAGTTCCTGGTACCCCATTCGGAAATGTGGTCCAAAGCCTGATTGAGTTCAATGACAAGATTCTCCCGTTTCTCCTTGGTTACCGCCAGCCCAGCCGCTGCTTGTCCGAGATACCCCGCATGCACTGTACTATCGTCTGCATAGCAATGAATATTCCCAAGAGGAATTAAGTCATTGATATGCAGCAGAAAGAGAGTGGGGGATAGGACGGAGCCCTGGGGAACGCCGGCATTCACTAACATGAACCGCGAACTGCTACCATCCAAAGAGAGAAGGCTTTTGTGCCATACCCTGTCGAACGCCTTGGCAATGGCAAGGCTGATAGCCAACGACTCGCCACGCTTGTCGATAGCCTCACCCCAGATATGAGTTAAGTACGCTAGAAGATCGTTTCGGTCTAAAACCATATTGACGATCATTAATCAGGGAGTGATCCTCTAGGTAGCGGGTCAGATGGTTATTAAGGACCTTTTCTAGAACTTTACATAAAACTGAGGTGACTGCTATTGGCCGGTAGTTTGCCGGGTCTGAGCGATCCCCTTTTTTGGGCACCGGTTGCACATTAGCATCTCTCCAAGTCTCCGGCACACACCCCAAAGAATACGAGCATTGGTACAAACGCGTGAGCACGGGAGACAACTCCGCTGCACATTTTTTAAGTACTACTGCTGGGATGCCATCAGGTCCACTAGCTTTCCGGACGTCGAGTGATTGCAATTAGGCACGAACCTCGCGCTGCCTGATTTTAATATCAGGCATCGTTGTGCCACAGTGAGGTAATGATGGTGGCAGTGCATTGAAATCATCGATTCGGGAGTTAGCCGCAAAGTGTTTTGCCAGTAAATCGGCTTTCTCCTGTGGTTATGGGCTAGTGTTCCGTCTGGGCATCTCAGAGGTGGCAGCGAGGGCTCGCAGAAGTTTTTTTTGCGCGGCCTTGGCCAGACGCCTGTAGCTACGGGAGCCCGTAGGATGCGTCATAAGTTCCTGGCCAACACGTGCAACGCGCTGGGCATCCGCTCTGATGTAAACCTAACTGATTATTTATTCTTACAAAACTGCGGTGCTTAGGAAAATTTACGCCACCATTTGGAGCCACTGTAACATGGGGTCGTTTTTATGAAGTTTTTGGCGCGAATTAATCGGAGCATGGAGGTTAGAGAGTAGGAGAGCGCCGAGAAGGATCGCTGTAGAAAATAGTGTCCCAGAAATATTTACAAAATAAGTAAGGCGCTGCGAACGCAAATTTGAAATGACCAATGCCGCGAAGAAAATTTGTACAGTAACTTCATCTCATAAACAGCTAACTTCACAGATACTACTTAACAACGGCAGCGCGGCTGGTGGCTGAAAAATTAACTTTAAATTCTATAAATTTTCAGGGACATGCGGACTAATGCTTTAGCACGTAGCGATCGTTCTCCTTTTTTCTAACCTTCATGTAACCGGAGCATGTAAATTGATCAATGGACTATGACTACAAAGATGATTTGACAGATGAGTTATCCGTCTCAGTGCTGCTACCTGGCGCCCGTCATTCCAAAAAACCCTCAGTGTTCAACTTCAAAAATATGATATTTTTCTTTAGAACTCGACTCCGGCGCCGCCGATACCAGAGCCGGACTACAGCATGTCGGAGTCAGACGAGGAAGGCGACCCAAAGTCCAAATCTGACCCGCCCCCGCCCGCCGAAACCAGTGCTAACAGCAACGCCAGGTAACACAGACGACCAAATAATTTACTCCATCCCCAGTATTCCTCTTTCCTTACCACTGAGGGATTCCTTTTGTCGGAACAGATTACTATTACACTGTTATTGGCGTTTTTCAGGACCCCAATTTACTCAACCATATACGAATACGCAACAATATATGAGAACGAAAACGAAATAAGTTGTATCTGATTACGATTGCATTACATCTTATTAGGTGCTCCGAAGGTACAGTGTTTTCTGTTTACATTAAAATGTGTGGGCATTTCGGGCGCTTTGTCTTCGTGTGATGTCATTTTCGCAATTTATGTGAACGCCATCATCGATCATCAGTGTATGTCTATTTATATCACATCGGTAATACCGCTCTTCGCTATTGTGTTCTGAGTACGGAATTTTGGCCGAACCTTTACTTTTCTCTCGCCTCCCCCTTTTTCTATGTACGTGTCTAACACTAGCTGAGACTAGTAACGTTTACTTTCAAAAATTATACGGCAATAAAAGTGGGAAATAGCTAAGCGCCGCGTGAGGAATACCTCAATTGTCTTAGCTTCGATTATATCTTCGTTCGCTCAGTATAACGTCATATTCATCTCAGGCACCGTTTAGCTATATCACACAGCTCTGTAAAAAAACTAGTCTTGCTTACTGTAATAACCTAACACAAACTCCATCCACAGCGGGAGCAGTTCCGGTTCGAGCTCGATGCAACACTCGTTCTCCGTGGACGAGATCCAAAAGATCAGGACGCGGTTGCGCTCGTCGCGGTCGTGCGGCGACGAACTAGGCGGCGATCGAGACGACGCCGACAATTCATCGTCGGGCGTCTCCTCCGACCAGGAGCCGGCGGCGGCGCCCAGACGAGAAAAGGTCTCCTTCTGTAGCTCCGTCACAGTGAAATCGTCGAACGATGTCATAAGTACGGAGCCGGTGCACTCGAGTAGCGAGAGTCTCGCGCCACCGCCTATGCAGCGACACAATTCGTTGACGAGGAAACGCGCGGCGGCGGCTTTAGCCAGAGGAGCAGGGGCGGGCTTGGGGTCGGGGCGGGGGCGGTCCGCGGCGGAACGACTAGGCGTGGACGTGGACAAAGCACCGGGACGACGCGCCAGGTTACTGCTCGCAGCGTTACCACCGCCGCCCGAGGAGCCGGGCCCCGCGGACCCCGCGCCCCTGCTGGCCCCGCCCCCGCAGTTCAGTGACCGCGTGCGGGTAGTGGCGGCCCTGCCTAAACAAGCCGCCCGCCTGCAGTAGAGTACGGTTTAAACTTAATGACGGATGTGAAGTTAACGGACTCTTAAGTTAAGTTAACGCTGCGCAGGAAACGAAGTAATGGATAATGCAGGCGCGTGTGGGATGTCACTGAACTAAAACCCGAGCGAAATTGCGCTCGCTGCTAGCTTCACAACCGCCGTAAAGTTTGGATCGCACTATAGCGCGCCCTCTACAGGCGACCACTTCCAAACCAAAGATTTATAGTATTCGCGGGACGGAGCCGCGCCTCTATCGCCGCACCCTCCGTTTCGGGCTCCCGACCCTCCCGCGATCGAGTGCCATCGTGTCTATGATTTGAAGGATATTTTTGTATTGTCTGTAAATATTTTTACTAGAGCCGCACCGCGACCTTGAACGAATTGACCGCCCGCCAGATGATGATATTGACTAAATTATATTTTGATCCCCGAGATAGAAGAGTAAAATTTAAATATTTAAGAATATAATATTTATTGGTATATTTAAACGGTCTCGAAGGACCGATCGTTTGCGACTAGATTACTTTGCGTCCGAATATTTGTTATTTCCGCGCCGGTCCTTTCGTTCGGCCGCCTGGACTCGCCAGTTACTTTACTAGAGGCCGCGTCCGCGAGCCGTCACTATGTGTTCTCATTACAAGACTAGCGCTTATAATATCGAACGCATTAGCATCTCATCCGTTCCATTGTATGATGTAATTTTTTATACTAATCGAAAGCATACGTGCATCATTTAGATAGACATAGATTATATCGCCAATATAAATGACAACATGTAACACCAAATTTAACTCTATGTATTTTTTTTATATTACTTAAAAATATTGTATGTCTAAGTTTCGAAGTTAATTGGTTATGTGTATTTTTACGGGTTATATTCGTGTAAGGCTGGAGATTCGTGTTTCAAGACAATATATCTAATTTTTCTTTTATATTAATTGATTAATAAATGAAGATACTGTCTATCACACTTTTAATTTAGAAATGTAAATCTTTAAAACATATAGCCTGAAAAATATAATGAATTTATTTTCTTAGTTATTAACTTCTTCTCTCTACGTTAAAATAAAAATGTTATAGTTAGACATATTGTCAATGTTAATAACGATTAATCTCACCTTAGAACGAAAACTGCCTAACTTGAAAAGCCTAATTCAATTTGGAAAATTATACGCGCAGCCAATGTTGTACCTTAAAAACAACAAAAATAAAGTTTATTTTTCACTAAACACACTTCTTATATCACCGAATAGCAATAGAAGAGGAATATACGATATTTAACATCAGAATATTAATATAATTCCTTTAAATATTAATGTTAAAAATCCTAGAGAATTTATAGGGATGAGTCGAGTCAACGGAATTACGCTGCACAGTGTTTTTTTTGCCCCAAATATGTGACATCCGCTTTTTATCGAACATTTAGACTCAATAGGTTATTGCAAATGCATGAGTAGAACACCCAGGTGTCAATTCCATATATATTTTTTTTATTTTTAATATTACGTGCCCTCGATTAAACAAAAACATGATAATATGCGCTAAGAATTGGTTCATAAGCCTGTAATAAAACTAAAACTCAATCACGTATAGTTTCTTTTGTAGGAATTATTTTGATGTGATTTCACATTGAAGGTCACGTAATTTAAAGTTTTTTTTTTTCAAAATCTATACTATACGGAATTGACATCTGGGTGTTCTACTCATGCATTTGCAAAAAGTCATTAAGTCTAAGTGTTCGATAAAAAGCGGATGTCACATTTTTGGGGCAAAAAAAACTCTGTGCGTTGAATTCGTACCTTCACTTTGTATTATTAGCACAATGAAATTATTTTTATTATTATTATGGGATGTATTATTTTGTTATTATGGTCTTGTCATTATTTTAAGTTGTATAAATGTAATGTCTACTTAAGGCATAGCTAGGTAGTAGTAATTATACTAGGGCAATATTTGATTCATAATAGAATAAAGAAAGCAGTGGGGATTGAAAGTGAGCTGCGATGCGGATGCAATCAATTTTCGACCTTATCACATCGCATGCATCGGCATAAAATCGCGAAATAAGGTGGAATGTTAAGTGCAGCCCCATCGTAGCGAATCGCACCGAAGTTTTGTATTATAAATAATACCTTTGTGTTTTGCGTTTCATTTGAATCTCAGTATCGAACGTGTTTACAACTTGGTATACTTTCAAATGAAAAATTAAATGTTTCATCAGTATTTTGTGCGTTTTATTCATAATTCTAAGATTCACCTCACTTATCATAACAATAAACTTAATTATTACTAAGACAAATTGGACGGACTACAGTTGCTTCATCACATTTGGTTGATATGCAAAATTAGGACTTATTCGTTGGTGATAGTGTCTAAATACGGAGAGACGTCTTCTAATTTAACGAGCCTCCTATAGTCTACTATCTCACCGCACATCGGGCATTTCCCTTCTTCTTGGAGGATTCTAAAACAAACGCATGAATTATGTTTAATAATAAATAAAATTTTAAAAAAGCCTTTATTAAACTACCAGTTTTTAACAATGATTTAATCATCAATTTGGCAACGCCGGGCCTCTACTGAATGTCTAGTTATAATGCCATTGTACCTTAGATTAAAACAAAAAGGGAAGATACGGTACGCTCATACTAGCAAGAAATAAAATATGCTCCGATTCAACTACATAAGCAACTTTCACACACGCATACTTCTGTAAAAAAATATTCAATCGAGCGAGTGAGACAGAACTGTCCGCTTCAACGCAGCGCGAGCGAAACGGCGAGTCCGCGTCGCTTGGCAGCCGACTGCGTTTTCTTTTCTCTCTCTACAAACGGCTGAGCTGTATTGTCCTTTTCTTGAGCCATGATTTTAGAGTTTTTTTTTATAGTTTTACGAATGAAAGTCTTGTCGTAGAATTATTATTTGATCTTGAACTACATATTTGTAATTTATTCATTTTATTTTTATTTTTAAAACATCGAATGCATTGTTTTATCTTTATAACACAGAATATACGTAATATTGTTGTATTTAGTTCACATGCAGCGTGTTTGGATGTCAAATTGTGACTAAAGCGAATCGTGGTCATGCACCACAATATACGCGGTACACATTTTAGGCGCGAGAGCCGTATCTTCCCTTTTTCTTTTAATCTAATCATTTTACAAAAAGAAATGGGTTTTATATTTCCTCGATAATTAAACGAAGGAAATAGAGAATCTAAATTGAATGTTAACAGATACTTGTGAATAATCGGGGGTAGGACAAAAACCCAGAAAGAGAACTATTAATTTACTATTTATGCTAAATACTGTTAGTTTAATGCTAAAATAATTATTGATATATCCACAAAATATATAATGATGTCGATTTTTTTTTTATAGATAGGTCCGACATATGACTTCACCCCACCTGATGTTAAGTGAAGGTGAAGTCCAGACGCGAAGATAGCTGATACAGCAGTTCTACCTGCCACACCAGCCATCCTCACCCTGCCGGCCTGCATGTTGCTTCTTCACGCCTCTTTTAAAGGATCCCAGGTTGTAAGAGGGAGGGAACACGTGAGCGGGCAGAGCATTCCATTTACAAAGAAATGAGTCACCAAATTTCTTTGTACGCGTTGGAATTGTGGCCACAGCAAAACGGTGACAACGTAGGCCCGCGCGCGTGGTCCTCTGAAGGAAAGGGGAAGGTGGGATAAGAGAGAATAACTCCTCAGAACACTCACCATGGTACAAACGATAGAACGCGCTTAGTGACGCCACGTCACGGCGTAATTGAAGAGGCTCAAGGTGTTTAGTCACCTCCTCATCGCCTATGATGCGGATCGCGCGCCGCTGTAACCTATCCAAAGCATCGAGCAAGTACTTGGCGGAGCCATCCCAGAGGTGCGAGCAATATTCTACGCAGGACCGCACTTGCGTTTTGTACAACAAGCACAGTTGATCGGGCGTGAAAAAACGCCGCACCTTGTTCAGGACTCCGAGTTTGCGTAAAGCTGTTTTGATCACGGTTTCGATGTAGTCCTTTGGATTTAGGTCTGAGCGAACTTCCATGCCGAGCATGGAAATGTTGCTCTGCAGCGGTAGTGTTGTGCCCTGAAGAGATGGAAGGGGAAGGAATGGCGATGTTTTTGCCGTGAAAGCGCAAGCCTGAGTTTTCTTGGCATTGAACTCAACCAAATTCCTGGTACCCCATACGGAAATGTGGTCCAAAGCCTGATTGAGCTCAATGACAAGATTTTCCCGTTTGTCTTTGGTTACTGCCTGCCCAGCCGCTGCTTGTCCGAGATATCCCGCATGTACTGTACTGTCGTCTGCATAGCAATGAATATTATAGGAATTAAGTCATTGATATGCAGCAGAAAGAGAGTGGGGGATAGGACGGAGCCCTGGGGAACGCCGGCATTCACGGACATGAACCGCGAACTGCTACCATCCGTAAGGACACGAATTCTACACTCATGCAGGAAGTCAGCTACCCAAGAACAGAACTGGGCTGGCAGACCGTATGCCGGAAGCTTGGAGAGAAGGCTTTTGCGCCAGACCCTGTCGAACGCCTTGGCAATGTCAAGGCTGATAGCCAACGACTCGCCACGCTTGTCGATAGCCTCACCCCAGATATGAGATTAAGTACGCTAGAAGATCACCCGTCGATCGTTTCGGTCTAAAACCATATTGACGATCATTAATCAGGGAGTGATCCTCTAGGTAGCGGGTCAGATGGTTATTAAGGACCTTTTCTAGAACTTTACATAAAACTGAGGTGACTGCTATGGGCCGGAAGTTTACCGGGTCTGAGCGATCCCCTTTCATTCAGAGAGTTTTGCCAGTAAATCAGCTTTCTCCTGCGGCTTATGAGCTAGTGTTCCGTCTGGGCATCTCAGAGGTGGCAGCGAGGGCTGGCAGAAGAAGAGATTCTGGCAGGACTCTCTAAACCTAAACTTAAATTTGACAGCAGTGTATCCTTGTCATTCTCTATACAGAATGAAAAAGAGGGCATGATGTTATATTTAATAAAAGTAGTTTTAAACGGGTTAATGCACAAAACTTTATTTATTTATTAACGTTTCGCAGCCTTTTCAGGTCTGCTTCGTCAGAATGATTTTTTAGTTAATTTTGTCGAGCTACCTTCGAAAGACTTTTATTGAGCGTCCGGTTATTTCATTGTGAGATTTTTAAAGTTTTATTGTCTATGTATGAATTTATTAGTTAATTTAGTTAATAAAGTACTTTATTTCAAATTCTTTTTTGTAATTTTGAGTTTATTTATTTGACTCTAACTACCGTAAACTACCACCAGTTCCAAAATTCCTCTGAGAGCTGAGTTCCCCTGTCTCACCTGTTGTCGCCGATATTTTCATGGAAGACTTCGAGAAGAGGGCTCTCAGCGTGGCACCTGTCACACCCAGGCTATATAGCCGCTTATATAAGCGGTACGTAGATGATACTTTCACAATCCTCCCAACAGATCAAATTTCTGCCTTTTTAAATCACCTTAACTCTATACACTCCAACATCCTATTCACTATGGAGTTAGAGGCAGATGGTAAACTAGTTTTTCTAGATATTTTATTAATCAGGAATCCTGACCAAAATTTAAGCCATACTGTGTATCGTAAATTAACTCATACTGATAGTTACCTCAATGGTGACTCACACCATCACCCGTAACAATTAACTGCCGTAGGAAACTCTTTGTTTCAGAAAGCACGGGGTGTCTGTGACAAACAACACCTGGCAACTGAACTTCAGCATGTCGAGCGAGTACTGAAGGATAATAATCTGAATGTACCACGTCGCCGTCACAATCGCACCAAACCTAGCACAGTCGACCGACAACCTGCTATACTACCTTACATGAAAGGAGTCACTGACAAGATTGGGAGGATTCTGAAGCGTGCTTCGATCTTAGATTAATAAAAAAAGGGTAGATACGGTACGCTCATACTTGCATCAAACAAAAACTGATCCCACGGCAGCGCGAACGGCACGGCGAGATCCGCGTCACTGCATTACCGACCCGAACGAAACAGCATGTTAAGTTTCAACGGCAGCGCAAACGAGACGGCGAGATCCGCGTCACTGCATTACCGACCATGCGCTGTTATTGCGCAATTTGAGCACTTTTTAAAACACACTTAGGGATTGTTTTATCATATAAACACAAAATATTAGCAATATTTCTTTTTGGCGTTCACATGTACGTCGTTTGCATGTCAAGTTGTGACTAAAGCGATTAGGGTCGTGGACCACAATTGGTGCGGATCACTTTTGTGTGGCTAGTGCCGTATCTGCCCTTTTTGTTTTAATCTAAGGCTTCGATCAATACTTACTTCAAGCCGCCAAAGAAGGTCAACCAGTTTCTACGACCGGTCAAGTGCAATATACCCTTTCAAGTTTCTGGTGTTTCAAACTTGAATGCGACTGTGGGCTCTCCTACATCGGGCAAACAAAGAGGTGTACAGGGACTCGGGTAAAAGAACATATCGCAGAAACATAGGCGCGAAAATAAGTCTGTAGTGTGTGAACATGAATTAGGGGGACCAAACCATTACATTAGATTTGATAAACCACAGATCCTTGCAACTGAGCAACGATTCATTCCTATAATGATGCGCGAGGCTATTGAGATTAAAAAATATCCAAATTACAATAGGGAAGATGGTTGGTATATACCACCAGCTTGGGAACCCATTAACAGGAGATAAAATCCCAACCCCGAGCACACACTGCAAGACCAACAGTTACTATTAGGTCTTTTTGTTTGCATAATTTTAACATAAGAAGGAGATAGAAAGCCTCTATTGAGTTTGTTTCGCCGGTTCTTCTCAGAAAGGTGTCCCAATTTTGGAACCGATGGTAGTTTACGGTAGTTAGGGTCAAATAAATAAACTCAAAATTACAAAAAAGAATTTTAATTAAAGTACTTTATTAACTAAATTAACTAATAAATTCATACATAGACAATAAAACTTTAAAAATCTAACAATGAAATAACCGACCGCTCAATAAAAGTCTTTCGAAGGTAGCTCGACAAAATTAAATAAAAAATCATTCTGACGAAGCAGACCTGAAAAAGGCTGTGAAACATCAATAAATAAATAAAGTTTCGTGCATTAACCCATTTGTTGAGTTTCCTCTACACCTTTCGAGATGATGATGTTAAATGATAGTTTGGTTATAAATTGATAACACCGATTATGTTGAAACTGTTATGTTTATTAGCACACGCGGTACATATGACGTCTGAACGTGAACTGATTTGCTTACGCTAATACAATTACATATTTACTTAATAATACATAAAATTATAAATTGCCACGTAAGGAAATGTTTTGTTTGGACTAAACATCTTCCCAGGGGGCAAAAGAAAAGAAAAAATAAGATATAAAAGTGACATAAAAATCATAAGTAAATGATAAATCTAACAAAATCTATAAAAAATAATTAAGTATCTTTATCA